CTACACTATATTATATCTATCTAGCGAAGATTCTGCATGACGGCAGGAAAACAATTTAGGCTTTTTTTCAAGAGCTGTTTTTGCTAGATAAAGTAACTGCTCTTTTTTTCCTATATATTTTAGGACTATGCTTGATTGACTCTAATTGTATTAACTAACTAACTGTAGGGATTGTTTATGTTGGACCAAGTTGGACCTAGCAGCAGTCACCAGTGGCTGCCATATTGCTGCATGGTCCATGCTCTGCTGTAGTTGTATAATCAAAGAGACATTACATGGCCTGGTGAAAGCGTGGAGAGTCTACCTTGATCTTGTTCCTTGTTCAGCTACCTGCTACAGCTTTGTGCACACCGCATACCAGTCATGGCCACATGGCTGTGCTCACTGCAAGGAAACCCCACTGGGAATTCTTTTTAAATTCACAAATACTGACCAGAGATTTCATGGTTTTGATGGCCAATGATGTCTGCGACTTTCTACCTCTCAACTAGGCTGCGTTCTGGTTCTTAACTGATACCGCTGTAGCAGAGCATAGCCATGCACTAATCATAAGAACTGATGGTGGTAACTGGGGCTAAGGCCAGATCATATATGTTTTATCCTAGTACATGTGCCAAGCCCACAAAGGCCAGTGTTTATAAGCCACCAGGGCTGAGACATGATGAATTCACAGGACATCAAGGCGATTACATGCAGGATTGTAGTCATTGTGACATTGTAGTTCAGTAATCCAGGCAGGTAAACTGAGTAATGTTATTGTACATTGTTTGACTTAATTAAACTATTTCTGTTGCGCTAAAAGCTAGTGTTATCTGGTTAGTAGAACACATTCTGACACAATTTCTCCAGGCATTCCCAATAACATTACAAATCAGGTCTTGCTGAAGACAGTAGAATTTATGTTCTCTCTGAGTGTATCAACATATGACAACAGCTTGTCACTATTTTAAGTGTAATGGAGTCATGCTACAAAATGCCAGGAATTGAAGTGTGATGGTACTTAGAATACCTTTGCTGGAGATCATCAACACACTGCTACAAACTCTAAGGGAGTGCCTCAAAATAGTATCAAACTGTTGCACCTGTACAGTGCAGATAAACAGCACATATGGTACCACAAAATAGGTAAATAGCTGTCCACGCTGTAGTCTATTACAGACAAAAAGCATTTCACCTGGTCATTGTATTGTCTATTTCTTATCTCAGGATGATTTAGAAGAAAACTTGTTTTAACATGCTGCAATGAAAAATTACCTCATGACCATTCTTAGTCCATCATATGCTTTATGGAAAAGAAATTCCCTTCAAAACAAATTTCAGAGGAGAAATTTCAGATAAATTATCATGGGTGACGTCTAGGAATTCCTGCGCTTTTCTTTCTCATGAGGATCAGGAGTAAATATGCGTGTCTCTCTTTTCACTGTATATTCATCTCTGTGGCAACCAGGGCCTGCCCTTCCCATGCTTCTCACACAGGAACTATAGCCACAGGGAAGCTATCATAAGGTAACTCCTTCCACGGAGTTTTTACAGAAGAACTGTGGACAGTCTGGGGAAGCTATCATAAGGTAACTCCTTCCACAGAGTTTTTACAGAACTGTGGACAGTCTGAGAAGTTGCATAGCTGACGAGACAATGTTTAATAGAATAACAAAATAAAAATGCAGCGTCCCAGCCACTTTAAATGTCTTACATTAAGCTCAAAAATAATCAAAAGAGCTGTATACACGAGGCAGAAAAATGGAGGCATCTTCCACGCAGAAATAAAACTTTGAGGAAATTGGAAGGCAGATAATGACACTACTCTAGCTTTTCCTTGTTCTGGGAACTGGGCGCAACACTGTCCTCATCCATACCCACTTATAGGGGTTATTTTTTAAAAAGGCTCTCTGTGCATCTGCACTGGAGACAAAATGTACCTGCATATACAACCCAGAGATGTAACATTAAGAAGGAAAGTGCTGAGCCCTGAGAAATGATGGAAGTGTTGAACCAACCTTCTCATGAGAGATTTTTCTGAAAAACATTCTCAGATGTTCTTCTCATCCACTTGGACATCAAAAGCCACTTTGCAGATTGATGCTCAACATTTCTCCATCAGTTTTTGGATGGCTCTCTCCCCACCAACTCCATGCCCTAGGATAGCAGAGGCTCCTGTGGAGGAATCAAAACAGTGCCCTGGCTGCCAACCCCTTTTGTAGTCACAGTATGAAATACACCAAACTTTTGAGGGCAAAAGAACAAAGCTGTACTACAACCATTGCTAATAATGAGTCCCACCTCAGGAAAAACTGCTGGAGAATGTTTCCCTCCCCTAGAGAAACTCACTAAAATTGTCCCAGTTTTTATTCCCTCAGACATATATATGGAGAGTACCAAAAGACCATTTGTGCACAACTTTAGTTTTTTAAAAAGTGAGTTAATTTGCTGACCCTTATTTCAATTTCCCCCCTCATTCTGGTAAAGCTTTTGCCTGTCTAGTTCACTCAGGCCATCTTTGAAAATCCCAAAGTACTGTCATATTGCATTAACATTCACAAGCTGAAATACAAACACTATGGGTATATAAAGGAGAAAAATTCAGTTTTAAAGAGTGGCTTATTTACTTTGAGCCAAACATTAATTTTTCTTGTAATACAGTGCAAAACAGATAAATGTGTGGTACTACTTATGCCAGGGGTTTTAAACTCAATTTACCTGGGGGCCGCTAGAGACAGAGTCTGGGTGAGGCTGGGCCGCATCAGATTTTCCGCCAAGCTGAGCAAGAGCCCAAGGAAGCCACCCAGGAGTTTCCTTAGCCGGCAGACAGGTGGGCCGGCTGGCAGGCTGCAGTTCTGGATGGAGGGTGCAAGAGGTGCTGTCTTGCGAGAGAGCCGGCGAGCGAGGCAAGGCTTTTTTTTTACTCTTGACAGACGAGGATGGGGGGGCGCTTTGGGGGAGGGCAGGCAAGGCGAGGGCCACAAACTATCATCTGGGGGCCGTAAATGGCCCCCGGGCCGCATGTTTGAGACCCCTGAATGCCCATTGTCAGATACAAACATTGAAGACAACCTGACAGCTAGTCAGGTTTTAACTCTGCATTGGCCTGACGAAGATCCAAATTGCATATATAATAATTCTGACTTACGGTAACCCTTTTTCAGGTTTTTCCAGATAGAAAGTACTCAGAAGCGGTTTACCATTCCCTTCTTCTGGGGTCCTTCTGGGACTCTGAAGCTTTCCCAAGGTCACAACACACAGGAGACACAGCAAGTAATCAAACTGCCAACCTCTGGCTCCACAGTCAGTTGAGGATCTAGTCGGCTCCCAAAGGGCAAGCAAAGCATAGATATTCATTTTTAGCTTATTAAGATAGCTATGGAAATGATAAAAACTGATTGTCCTAAACCACAGGTTTTTTCCAATGAATTATTAGAAACCATAAGAATTATTAGAAATAACAGAATACTGTATGGTGATAGATCTCTTCAGCAACAAGAGTGAATGTTCAAAGAAAGATCAGGTTCAGCTCAACCCATACATGTAAGTACAGTCTCTTGGTGCTATATGAACATATTATCCAGTGAAAATGCGACCTAAAGAGCATGATATGTTTTGTTATACAGCCAACTGAAAGGAGTATGAACTTAATTCCAAGGATATTACTTTCAATGGAATAGTAACTACATTATTTGGTAAATGTGTTATTTCCCATCCAAGATTTGTCCCGATACCTTCACTTCCCTTGTTTAAACATACAGTATTTAAATACTAATAGAAACCTATCAATTATATCTCCCTGCCACAACCAAAAGATAAATGGGATATGCAACTTAGTGTTAGAATATATTTTTCATATTGAAAGTGAAAAATGTAATCCAATTAAAAATATTTATCTTGTAGTATAACTGGAGGCTTGACCAACAGCTACTAGCAAAGTGAACAGCACTGGACAAAAAAGGTCAATGATTCCACTCAATCCAAGGTATCTTCAACTGCTGCTCAAAATAGTTTCTTAATATATCTAACATAGTATTTACATCTACTGTACTAGCCTAATAGACACAAACCAAGATACAAAAACTGTTCAAGCCATTATTACAGTTGTTGAATTTCAGTATGCATAGGAAGTAAAATATCACATCAGGACCTGTCTGCTCAGTTTTGCCTGATGTCCCTATATCTCTTGTCCCAATTCTTCACAACTTTTTTCCAGTTTCTCCAAAACTTGCTAAGATGCTAAAAAGCATGCTGGATTCTATTCTAAGAATTTTAACACCCACCTGATCCTAACTTAAGGCCAATATGATGATTCAGTATCTTTTTATCCCAATGGTGCCTTTAGAACACCAGAACTTGTTGGCCAAATCTGACCCACTGTTGTGTGATGTGTAAACACTGTTGAACAAGACATCACTCAAATTATCTGGGGGATTTGGAAATACCTACAAGAAATATTGTTTAATGGTTTATCCTTTAAAATGCCTGCAGAAATATCCACTGTTCAGCCACAGAATAGCTTACTTTTTGTGTTATACTGCCTCACATTTCACACATTTACATTTCTAGCAAAACCACATAGCTAATGCTCTTAGTCTAAAATGTTACATACTAAGGACAAAATCTTGTTGGTGTTTGAAGAGGGATACTGCAAGTTCCTGCAGCTAGCCACAGCTAATTAACAAGGTGCTCAGTGACTAGGCATGTATCCAACGTATGCTTGGCACTTCATCAATTAGTTAGAATTAGCCTAGCGACTTGCCCAGTCTCTCCAAGAACACAATGGGATGCTCAAATTTGTTTTAAATTTGTTAAATTCATTTAAAAGCAGTTTTTATCAATTCAGCTAGAGACAGGGTTTTATTGTATATATTGCATTTTGTGTGTTTGTACGATTGCACTTAGATTTTGATGTGTTGTGAATTGCTCAGAGTGTATGTGTCCACATGTATGGACTGATGGGGGTGGTATAGTAATCGAATCAAATAAAACCAAAACCAAATCACTCACTCAATCAAGCAATGGCTGGGGTCTGTTTTATTTTTAAGGAAATAAGGAAAGAGAAATCTGTATCTAACAACTACTCAAGTTTCTAGCTTATAAAAACAGCACCTACATTATCCAAAAAATTGAACAAGTCACAATAAAGGCTATTTCTATTACCGGTGTAATTTAATGGCGGCAACCTGCAGCTAATTAACCAGTGCTGGTCACATTCTGGGCACACACCCAAACACGCAAACAGTACAATGGTAATTAACTGCAATTTGCCACCATGACTTACACCATTTACATACTCCAGAGTAAAATGACAGTACGTATGTTTCTGGCCACTTTAACCTAGTTCTTACTAGAAGCCATATACAACTCAACAGTCACTCAGTACAAAATAATTTTTAGCTCATATTTGCAGTATAATAGTCAACATGAACTGATCAGGCAGACAAAATGTCAGTGGAGGAACGAATGATGAAGCTTGTTCAAGCAAAACAAATATAATAAACCGTCATGGTTTTCCAATCTGATTAAAAAGCCCAGAACATTTTCCAGCTTGCATAAGAGATTACTAGGGTGCCATGAGATGGCACAGGAAGATGAAGAATTCAATTTTTCTTACAACAACCCACTGCTGGATGAAGAACAGAGGCTTCCCTCCTCCTCATTTGCTTTCTATTCTAGGCACAGAGGAGAAGCAGAACAAGTCCTGCCTTCTCCACCAGCCCACTCAAGCACCTGCATGGAATTCCATGCCCTTGCCCTGTGCATAATTCTCTACCAACCAGGACCTACCTAGCAAATGTTTGAATACTGACTCGGCTTTGGAAATTTTGTAAGCAGCATACCAGATCATCATAATGCATCAAGGCAGCATACTACTTTACATGACTGATTAGTCCACTCACTCTCTCCACTACTGTTGTTTACCCATTAAAACAAGACCACAAAAACTGGTGAATTTTAAAGAATTTTAATACAAACTTAATATAAACTATTTCAGTCCCTCTCTTTAACATAAGACACTGACTCAAAATACTTTTATACCTTTTTCAAGTATTGCACAATGTAGGTACAAAATTAATATTTACGATTACATTTTCTTTCATAATATATAGCAAAAAATCTTTAAACTTTTTAACAGAAAATACAATTTGTGTTTCTTTCTTGGAAAAGTATTCCATACAATTTGAATTCCACTGCTTAAGGAATATTTTGTACACTTTTTAGAACTGATGTTTTTTAAGATGGATTTTATAATTTCAGTAAAAAAAATACAACATGAAACTGCTGCAGTTGTCACAGATCACTGTAGTAAAAAGATAAAAATGCAATACCATGTTGTAGAAACAATATATACTCTGATATTTTACAAACTTCGTACTAAATTAAATTATACAATTAGAAAAGACCAAGAAACCCACTTATTAGTGCCAATTTTTTATATATAAAAAAATCAGCCATGTCCTTGCTATATCTTAAATACTGTAAGAGGCCATATCTTGAGTATATTTAATGTACAGTCAGTAAAAAATAACTTTGTGCTTGGTTGGCAAATGAAAAAAAAAGATGCATGTTGTCCTTATCTAACCAAGCTTGAACGTATTCATACTACAAGCTTTTTTAAAAACTCAAGAGCGAAAAAGATACACCCTTGGGTACGTGCATTTCAACTTGTACAATATGATTTGCAAATTTTATTTTATTTCATTTTTTTTTAGTTAGCCATAACAGGCTGGAATTGCTGGTTAGAGTACTGCATGCTATTTAAGCTGAAATTCAAGCCATCCACAAAAGACTTCTCATTTAGACCTCCATAGGCTGCAAACATATCAAAGGCATTACTGTACTGGAGAGGACTAAGGTTAAGGGGACTGTCACCAGGGAACAAACTGCTTGTACTGCCTTGGCCCTGTACATTAGGGAAGATGAACTCTTTTGCGTTAGGAGAAAGGGCAGACGTCTTCTGCTGCTGTTGTGGTGGTTGCTGCTGTTGAGGAATTTGCTGGCTACCTAGGCCAAGACCGTAGAGAGAGTGCATGGAAGAGGAAAGGGCCTTCTGTTTCAGCAGATCATTGACATTCAAGCCCAGGTTAGTGGGAGAAGTGCGGGCAACTTTATTGGTACGGCTGCTGTTCTTCATTTTGGTTGAGCCAAACTTGGTGGCAGCAAATGTGGCAGTGGTGAACGTTAACGGCTGAGTGGACCGGGGCATGAAGGTTGGGCTCACAGTTGCAGAGTGACCAAAGGGAGGTGAAGGAGAACTTGAGACAGAAGATACTGGATCACTTATTGGCATGAACACCTGGGCCTCTGGATTAAAGCTATTCTTGATTTCCTTATCCAATTCACATCCATTTTCATTGGAGTCATCCACATAAAGCACTTTCACTGGTCCCTTTTCACCAATTTGGTATGAAACCTCAAATGGGTCAATCCAGACACTAAGATCCTGAGGCAGATTGCCACGCACATCATCAATGTCCAAACCACTCTCTTTGGATGCTTGTTCAATAACTGGGTCCACTTTCTCTCCTACATGTATACATCTAAACCCTGATCCTTTGTATGGCTTTTCTGGATACCAATGCCCTTCATACTTCTTCTTAAGGAGTCTTTCAAGTTCTTCTCCAAAAATGTTCACACGTCGTCTGGGAAGCTTATTGTACAAATATGAAATAATGAAATTGAGTGCTACTTGTATTTCAAGCTGCATAGCTGCTACGGCACAGAATTGCAAAGTCTCCGTTTTCAAACCACAAAGACCGGGGGGGAAATGTTCAAAATACCAGAGGAAAGCAAATTTTGTTCAAAGTGCTGATTCTAGCAGACTATTCTTCACCTTGAGTAGCGTTGTTCCTTTAAGAAAAAGAAAAGCAAAGATCCAGATAAGGAAAGTGCAACAGCAAGTTGACTTAGGCCTATTATTTTAGCCTTACACTTCACTTAAAATAGGTTACATTCTCTCTGCTGCAGACAGACATTTGCAACACACTGGCACTGCAAATGCCACTTAAAAGCTGACCACATTAAACACACCAAGCACAAATACAACAGCTTTATAGAAGGAAATACAGCAATAAGATATTAACAGGTATGATACATAGCATTTAAAACTCCAAGTATGCAATACAAAAAAATAAAACAGAGAAGAATAAGTATGTATTTAGAATGTAACCTGAGCAGTAGAAAATCAATTGAACTTCAGATATAAAAAAGGGTAGCTCTGATAGCACAAAACAAATTTCAAAATACCTATTTAGGCCTTTATTAGGCCTCACTATTAATTTTGGAATCTGTCAAGGTTCAGTGATCAAACCTCTATTTTGGTGATTATTAAACCCAGCTGTAACATGTTAGCATTCTTTTCAATATGGCTAAATTAAAAATTATTTAGCTTTAAGTGCAATGGATTATTTTCAATATTGGCAGAATTCCAAATCTATTTCACCTCAAAGACAAATGTACCAAATACAATAATACCTACATCTGGAAATAAATCAGGAGCTTTGAAAGATGTGCCAAATTTCAGAACTATTATCAAAACAGGTGTATGCAATACAAATGTTCATTAAGACGAATCAAAAGAAACCGTTGTAATTGCATAAACATTTTTAAAAATTACAAATCCAAGCCAATCTCTAAAGAATATATTAATTTCTACAATGCAAATGTAATCCTTGTACAGTACTATATGAGAGATTTGGGTTCTATTCATATCAAAGTTAAAACAATTCCTATGTAGATCTAATAAAACATGAAATACAAAGTCAACATTAAAAAAGAAAAACCATACTGCTACAAACTAGAAGGTTCTAAATAGAAAAATTAGCACAAAGTTGTATTTCCTCCCCTGTTGATGGCTTGTTTTTGTTAACAGCACTGCACTGCAACATTGGTTTTAAAATCTAGTAAAGTTTGCAATCTGGAAAACAAGGACATTCAAAATAATTGGATTTTATTTCCGTGCCCCAAATGGTTGATTTTCAGTGGCTAACTCGGCTTCTGAAATCATTTCCCTTTTGTTCTACCCTCTTTAAATGATAAGAAAACCACCAGCTGTATGATGAGGCGACCTTTAAACGATTGCTGGATCAGCACTGGGTGGGGATAAGGAAAGATCAAGGGCAAATAGACGATATTTACAAATGGAACACATCAGGTACAGAGGATCTGACTGGGGGAGTTGTACAGAACATTGAAAATGATTTATTAATCCATCTGTTTAACCTCCCCTGCAGTATAGGAAAGATATTATTCTTTCAAGGGGGGCAAAAATTAACACTATTCTTTATCCTCTCTTCTCTGACACAGAGAGCTAAGCTAATTAAACCTGAAACATTTCAAACATTTTCTGTCTATAACAAAGCCTGTTTAAAATTAGTTAAACCTGTTAATTGCATGAATCATAGCAGTGGTGGTGTCGGAGGTGGAGAGAATTATGAAGGGAAAACAAGGAATCTTAAGCAGAGTACACGGGTTACATAACCAGGCAGTTGGGTCTCATTAGATTTCTGCTCACAGCTTTTTGAGCTCCAGCAGCAGCTAAGGAGAAAGTGCTTTCTATGAAGGGTCCAATGATTGGCCAAGTTCTCTCTCTCTCTCTCTCCCCCCTGATCAAGCCCAGCAGGCCCAATTCTCCAGTGTCCCACTTCCAGTGTCCTTTCCCCTCCCTCTCCTTTTTCCACCAGCACAGGGTGTAGAGTAGAGCACAATTTATTAAAACCTCTTCTGTGGAAACGGGATCCCTGGCCTCAAGCTCCCCCCTCCTACTCTTCTCCCTGGAGAACCTACATCCCCTCCCTGCCTCCTCCCACCCACAAAACCAAACTGGCCTCCCAGTCTGAGCCCAGCTCCAGACTAACTGCGGCCCTTAAAAAACAACTGCCCTTCCCCTCCCCCGACGCGCCTCTTCTCGGTGGGATTGTGCCAGTCCCTCCCCCCCACACACACACCGTCTCCAACTGCACTCCCCCCCTGACAGGCTGCGCCCCCCCCTTCCACCCCTGCCAACCTTCGAGGGGGCAGTCCCAACACTTCAGCCGCCTCTCCCTCTCTCCTAACCAGGGGCGGGGCTCTGCCAGCCTCCATTCCCCACACAAGCACCCAGATGGTGGGGAAGGGGGGGGAGGAGGAGGAGAGAGCTGTGCCAAGCAGCAGAACACCCCCCCCACACCTTAACCAAAGAGCCCCTCCCGCCGCGCGAGGCGGGTCTTGTGCCAACAACGCTGGCCCAGCCCCTCTTTCCCCCCCCCTCCGAGGGGCTGCGCCCGCCAGCCATCTCCGCCTCCCTCCCTCCCTCCCTCCCTCCTCCTTCCTCTGCAGGGCTGTGTCAACACCCTCAGCCAGGGCTGCCCTGTCAAATCTCCTGCCAACACCCTTGCTCGCCTCCGTCCGAACTAACAGGCGAGCCTCCCTCGGCCGGTCAACCGTCCCGTCGTCCACTCCCCCCCCCAAAAAAAAACCCCAATTCTCCACACCCGTCCCACCCCGCTGCCTCAATGGGGGCAATGCCATCCTTCTTTAAAAAAAACAACCACCACCCCGTTCTCCGTCACAGCTGCTCCCACAGCGTCTCTCTCTCTCTCTAAATATCTATCTATCTCCTTCAGTGGGGGCAAGGCACAAAAGCTTCCCCCTCCTATACACACCCAGCCCTCCTTATGCCCCACCGAGGTCCATCTGTGGGGCTGCTTGGAACCTCCCCACTCACCCACACACCTCAAACCCGCGCTGCGAGGATGAGGGCGCGGTAATCGCTCCCCAGTACACTCACTCTCTCTCTCACACACACACAACACACACACAACACACTCTTTCACACACAGAGAGAAGGCCTCTCCCCTCGCCGAAGCCCACCGGTCTGTGCCAAGTCACTGCTCTGCCACCGCCCGCTCTCCCTCAGAGCTAGTAGTAGGCTCGGTGGGAGCGGCTCCACCGTCCACCCCACTCGACGTACGCGCAGAGAGAGAGAAAGAAAGAAAGCGAGCGATACTCACCCGAGGTGAGTGGGGGAAGATGACGTGAATAGTGCAAACAGTCCCGGCGAAAGTCCGGGTAGGAGGGAGGGATAAAGGAAGAATGGAGGGGCTCAGTACCGAAAACCCATTCCCCAGAAAGGGCGCTAGGAGAAGGGAAGGTTGCGCTTCTCACACCCCTGGGCCACAGACAGCGCTCCCCCTCCGATGCAGCTGCTAGAAGTCTTCTTGTAGCGGCCGACCACGGCCCGCGCCCCTATATATGCCCTCCCTTGCCCCGCCCCTTCCCTCCTATGTGGTTACGCCCACCCGCTGTCCGCCCACAAGCCTCTCCGGCCCCACCCACTAACTTGCCAATCGATCGGCCCCGGCTCCGGACGCGGATTCCTATTGGGCTTCTTCTCATGCCAATAAAATTGTACTGCCAACCCACCCACCTTCCGTGTAACCCTCCTTCTGTCCCGTACGCTTCTCTCTTATCCTTGCCA